TCAGCCAAGATCCATCGGACATCTGCAGTGATATCTCTTGTTCCACGGCCTCTTCTGAATCCAGCTTGAACCTCTGGAAGTTCTCTGTCAATGTATAATTGTAGCCGTTTCTGTATTACCTTGAGCAAAACTTTACTCGCTTGAGATATCAAAGAGATTGTCCAATGATTCCACATTCCGTTGGGACACCTCTCTTTGGAATGAGCACAAATATGGCTCTCTTCCAATCAGTCGGCCAGATAGTTGTCTTCCAAATTTCTTGGCAGAGAACATTTCTGGGACACAGGACATTTTGGTTGTCAAAGAAAAATGTCGACAGATTCTTCTCAAAATAACTCAAACATTAAAAAAAAAAAAAAGTCTTCCCAAACCTTAGGTCATGTTGCATTGCTAAAAAAATAATTAAAATGGAATTTCAAAATAAATCAGATTGATAGGTATATGAAAGGATTGAGATCTCTTTTCAGCCAGCAAACGCCAGTGCCAGGAAGAAAATGGAATGACAATATGGCAATGACTTCCTAAAAAGGCAATTTAAATTACAAGCTTTTTTGTCGTTGTTAAGTGCCACTGAGTCGGTTCTGACCCACAGCGACCCTGTATAGGGTTTCCGAAGAGCAGCTGGTGAGCTTGAACCACCGACCTTGCAGTTCAAATGGTTTTGCAGTCTGGTGCAATTACAAGCTTATAGGATGGTAATTTTCCATATAGCATAATTCTTTAAAATTAAAAACCAAAAAACAAATCACTTACTTGTTTTGCTGTGTACACTTTCACTTAAAGTACATTTGGTCAGGCCCTGCCATGGCAATCCCAGTTCCAGCCATCTTGTTGTTGTTGTTAAGTGCCATCACATTAGGGTGAGTAAACAAAATGTTTGACCAAATATAGCAGGCTAATGGAGTCCTGGTGTGGCACTGTGGGTTAATGTGCTGGACTGCAAAGTTGGTTTGAACCACAAGGTTGGCGGTTCAAGCTCACCAGCTGCTCCTCGGAAACCCTATACAGGGTCGCTATGGGTCAGAACTGACTCAATGGCACTTAACAACAACAACAACAACAACAACAATGGAGTCCTGGTGTGGCACTGTGGGTTAATGTACCAGACTGCAAAGTCATTTGAACTACAAGGTCGGTGGTTGAAGCTTACCAGCTGCTCCTCGGAAACCCTACACAGGGTGGCTATGGGTCGGAATCGACTCGACAGCACTGAACAACAACCCATGCTCTAATTAGTTTCAGAGAGCAGCTAGTGGGTTTGAACTGCCAATCTTGTAGTTAGCAGGCCAGAGCTTATCTTACAGTACCACACCAGGGGTCATGTATATACAAGCAGGCTTTAAAACGTTAGTGGAAAATGGAGTTAAAAGATAATGGAAATTTTCCGTGAATTTTTAAAGTTCCCAAGGATGGCAGAGGACCAGGCACAGGACTGTTGTGTATAGGTGAGCCATAAGAGTTGGAAGTGACTCAATGGCACCTAACAACAAAATGTATACTTATATGTAATACCTTATTACATATACATGTAATAATTTAAAGCACAGAATTTAAAGCTAATGTTTTTTATATGAAGCTACATGTAATTTAAAAATAATTAAAATATTACATGCAAGGGGGCTTCAAAATGTTTTTTAAAATCTTAAATGAAAAGACTTTTCAGGAACTTCCTTAAATCTCTTGGGATATATAAGCTGTTAACTTAAATAGCTACACACACACACAAATATGCTCTTTTTTGGTACAAATTTTTAAATGAATGGAAGCCTGTGAGAAGTGGAGCTGGACAGGCCAGCTGGTTTTCCTGTGTCTCCCTAGTTTTCCACCTTTAACAGGGTACATAAAGTCTTACCACTTTTCTATCGCTTATTTTCGTGGAAAAGTATTTGTGTTTTCCTTCTCTGACAAATTTTTGTCTTACACAGGTCTGAGCTTTCACAGGTTTTAATACACACATACATACATATATCCCTACATATTCACGAGGAAAAAACTCCAATGACCATAATCTTGAAACATTTGCCATGGTCATTCCAAGTGTGCTCTTTGAAAACAAGAGAGTTGGACTACAATATTCTCATCCCACACCTGCTAAAATTATATCTGATTTATGACAAAATTTTATATAAGTATTTTAACATATCAATATTTTATGGCAGAATGCAAAGATAACCCTGACATCATAGACACATATGCACCTAAAAAAATTAGAGAACTGAAAAATTTCAAGAAAGGGAGAACTGAAAACAGAAGTGTAGAGAAACAAACCAGGTGTGAAATACAAGCACAAACTGACAACTGCAGAGCATGTGAGGTAATGATGACATATGCTATCCTGTTAATCTTCTATTTTGACATTATGGTATCGAAGAAACAGTAATAATAGAATAACAGAGTGTCCTAAGCAGAATGACTAGGTAATTGCAGTAAAACTTATTTTTAACATTATCCAGAACTTCACTTTGAAATAAACGAATTAACTACTATAAGTATCCCAAAAGAACAATTTTCCTTTTATTGGCATGTAATGGCCACAAGCGGAAAGGCAGAATTTTGAGGAGTCTGATCCTCAAAGACAGAGCTGCAAATTTTCATTCATTCCCCTGAGGATCTGAACGGTCTTCAATGGAGGAAAACTGATATTAAAATTTCACGTGCTGGGGTCTGAAATACCAGCCATAACACATCAAAGTTATAAAAGATATTCTGTTTAGGATGTCGTGAGCATCTCACAGGCCAAACAGGCCTTTCAGAAACACTGTGCAGGAAAAGGATTCCTCTGGTGCCACGCTTATGTGTACGTAAAAGAGTGAGAACGAGTATAAGAAAACCAACACGATTCGGTAGCAGTATCGGTATATGTGCAAGCTGGTGTGTAATACCAAAGGATTGTGTCCTCTGACACAGTTCTAAGACGGTTTCTTCCACAGGGTGGGAGTGTTGGGAAGCAAAGTTTAGCGCGGCAGATTAAAGGAGAACAGGTGACCCCTGGATTCCTAATGCCTAGGATACTTATCTGCTCCACAAAATACATCAACACTTGCTAAATGAGTAAATGCAAAGTAAATGGAGTTTTAGATTGGAGGAGGAAACATGACCCCCTGTAGGGTAAGTTTTGGAAGCAAAAAATAATAATGGGAGAAGGCGACGAAGCCCTACTTAGGATAGGAAGGCAGCGGAGTTTGCGAAGAGTACTGACCAGAGAGAACTCGGTGCCGGGCCAGTTGACTCGGAAAGGGATGTCATCGCTGAGCTGGGGAAGCGCTCGGCCACCGCCGGACGCCTCCAGGAGGCCGCAGAGGACTAGTAACACTGGCCCTCCGGGTACCAGGCTCCGGGCACCGCCGCCTCCTTCCTCCATCCTCCTCCGCTGCTTTCTCCAGCCGCCGCCAAAACCTCCTCTGCCTGAAGAGACGAGGAGGGGGAGGAGGAGAAGGCGGCGGCGGGACTACAAACAGTACGAAGAAGCCTGAAGCTTAACCGTCGCCACGTCTCCTTCCGGAGAGCCCAGCAACACCGTCCCCGCCCCTCTAGAGTCTCCAGCCATCGTTTCCGGGGCAGGTAGCATATCAACATCCGGGCTACAAATCGTTCGCCTACGGAAGCTGAAGAGCCCCTAGGGATTCTTTGGATTCCGGCAACCGCAGCTTTACTGTGTGGACCGAACCCTGCGGCTTAGTGGGAGGGTACGTCAGGATGCTGGCCTTCGGACTTACCTGGTCCGCAGAGAGGCGGGAATGCGGAAAGCCGGTGAGTGCGGAGATTGGTGGCTGTTCCCTCCCGCAGTGCAGGAGAGCGTGAAGACCGGAGTGTGAGCGAGGCGAGACGTTAGATGAGCAAATTTGAGGTAGTGATGAGAAGTGTCGGTGTTCCGGATAGATCGGCCCTCTCCAGTTTCTCTTCTTTCCCTTTCTCCCCAGATGGCAACTGTACACTCGTCACCTCTCCCCGCCAGAGCTTCTCTCCATCTCCTAAGTCTCTGCAACCCTGGGTTTCGGAAAAACCAGGTGTGAGAAAACGCGCGGTGCCTCCTACGAAAATAACCGTGTCTAGTTTGACAGCTGGACGAAACTGCGTCTACTGCTTCACTACCAGGGCTCCTTTATTAACCCAGGGGTGAAGTGTTGGGTTGTTACTTTATTGAGAAAGCCAACAAGTTCTTTTATGTGAGTGTTAGGACTAGGTGAATGTGTGGCTATTTAACGCAGATGTCTGATTTCATTCCAAAGTCAGGAGAAGTTTGGCATTTCTCGACCCTTCTTTAAAACATACTCGGTTCTTTTTAGCCTCCCATATAGTGAGTTGTGTTGGCCATGGGCAGTGAGCATTCTTTTTCAGGGAGGTTGTTATTAAGTGTCATTGAGTCTATTCTGACCCATAGTGACACTGCTTAGGGTTCTGAGGAGCAGCTGGTGAGATTGAACAGCCGACCTTACAGTTCAAACAGCTTTGCAAATTTCACAGTGCCACACCACGATTCCTTTCAGGGAGGTTGTTGTTATGTGCTGTGGAATCGGTTCTGACCCATAGAGACCCTGAACAGGGTTTCCGAGGCTGTAAATCATTACGGGAGCAGAAAGCCTCATCTTTCTCCTGCAGAACAGCTGGTAGTTTCGAACTGCTGACCTTATGGTTCGCAGCCCGAATCGTAACCACTACACTACCAGAGCTCCTTAGACATTTCAAATTTAACATGTACAATGTCAAGAAAACAAAACTCCTTACCACTGTACCAATACACAACATTCTTATCAACGGAGAAAAGATTGAAGTTGTCAAAGACTTCATTCTTCTTGGATCAACTATCAACACTCATGGAAGCAGCAGTCAGGAAATCAAACGGTGTATTGCATTAGGCAAATCTGCTACACAAGACCTTTTTAAAGTGTTGAAGAGCAAAGATGTCAGCTTGAGGACTAAGGTGCGCCTGACCCAAGCCATTGTTGTTGTTGTTATGTGCCGTGGAGTCGGTTCCGACTCATAGCGACCCTGCACAGGGTTTCCGAGGCTGTTAATCTTTACGGGAGCAGAATGCCTCATCTTTCTCCCGCGGAACCGCTGGTAGTTTCGAACTGCTGACCTTGCGGTTCACAGCCCGATTCGTAACCACTACGCTACCAGAGCGCCTTGACCAAGCCATAGTATTTTCAATAACCTCATGCATGCGAAAGCTGAACAGTGAATAAGAAAGACCATAGAAGAATTGCCACACCAGGACTCCACGCCAGCCCTGGGAGGACAATTTCCCTTTAGGAACTTTCCTGGGAGTGTCCTTAATGGAAATTGGGGTACCAGAGTCCCATGGTCATGAATCATACCCTGACCAAGGTGACCTGAGGGCCCCAGAACTAGTCATAAAATTTTCTAACCTTCAGTAATGTATACATCCACCCCATACTCCTGCCTATGACAGTGATGAATTGATCTGCTGTAAGTCATGATATTGTAACAGATTTCTCTTGTGTTCCATCTTCTATAAATAAGCAAGAGACTGTGAATCCTTTGGACACTGTTATGGACTCATACTGATGGTTGCCCTCATCCAAATGATTTGCCTTTGTCCTTTTTTACTCTTAATTAAAGGGTCTCTCTAAAATATTTTTGAATTTGGGGTCCTTTTCTAAGTGACCCCTGTTTTTAAGTATGCATAGATTAACCCCAAATGGAGTGACTACCTAAATGAACAACATAAAAATGAACATACAGAAGAAAATTTAGGGGACTAATTGAATGAGTGTAAGTGTCCAAGAGTCCTGTTGTGGCGCTGTAGGGTGAAGCACTGGACCGCACGGGCAGTTTGAATCACACTATCAGTGGTTCAGACTCACCAGTTGCTCCTTGGAAATCCTATACAGGGTCGCTGTGAGTTGGAACTGACTCAACAGCACCTAACAACAGCAGCAGCAGCAATGTTGTACAGGAGAGGAAATTCTGAAGTCATGAAAGAAAAGAAACATGTTTAATTACATGAGAATGAAAAATTTTGTAGGGTCCTGTTTTAGATTGCATCTATTCTCAATGGAGTTTGTGTTCAAATGGTGTTACTGTGGGTTGGAGCTGGCTCCACAGTGCTTAACAACAACAACAAGAAGGGTGGGTAGTTAAATGACTAAACACATGAGGTAATTTCTGGTAGTGGTAAATGCTGCAGAGAAACTAGGGGATGTGAAAGAGAATGCCGTATTCAGAGTAGACTTCTGTGAGGAGTGACACTTAAGCGCACACAAATTCAGAGTGAAATTTCCAGGCTGAGGCTGTGAGGCAGAGATGAGTGTGTTGTGATGGAGGGACAGTGGAAGAAGGTGGTAGGAGATGAAGTTTGAGAGTCAGAGAGAGGCCAGCATAACATGAATTATATTTGTGAAGTTTTAGGGGGAGAAGTGGATAATTATAGTGTATGATGCTGTAGGATAAGCACTGGACCACAGGGTTCAAACTCACCAGCCCCTCCTTGGAAACACTATTCAGGACCCCTATGAGTTGGAACCGACTGTATGATACTTAATATGATATTAATCCTGTTTTATAATTGCTGTATGGGAAATTGATTATAAAGGACATATATGGCAGCAGGAAGATCTTTTAGGTGGGTGGGAGCATTGGAGATATAGAGACAAGACTGGTTTTGGAATACTTTATTTTTAGGTAAATCCTCTTGAACTTGCTGGTGGATTCCATGTGATATGTCTTCACAAAGATGAATCAATGATGATGTTTAGATTTAGTTCTTTAATGAAATTTAAAAATTTAAAACTTTTATTGTGAATTAGGTGAAGGTTCACAGAGCAAATCAGTTTTCTGTTCAACGGTTCATTGCAATTCCCACAATGTAACATCAGTTATTCTGCTTCCTCCCTGTGTTTCTCCTTTCCATTCCCCCTCTTTTCCCGCCCCTTCCTGCTTTCTTAACTTTGTCCTTGGACAAACACTGCTGCCCTTTTTCATCTCAAATGGTTGATTATTCTAAGGCCTGCATACTTCCCTAGTGGTGTTATTCACCCTCTAGACCTGCCTTATGTGTGGCTAAAAATTGAGTTCCAGATCTGAAAGGTTACTTAAGTTCATAGTCTCAGGGGTTCCACAAGTCTGTATAACCAGAAGGATAAGCACTGGACTGCTAGGTACAGTTTGGTGGTTCAAACTCACCAGCTACTCCTCGAAATCTTATAGAGTCACTCTGAATCAGAATGGACTCAACGGCATGTAACAACAATCTCCAACCAGTAAGTCTGATCCTTTTCATGGATGCTGGTGGTATTTTTCATAAATAGCTGGTGGTGCTTTTTTACTGAAAGAGAAAAAGATAGATAAAGGAACAGAATTCAAATGGATGGGAATAAAGGTGTTTTTGCTTGTTTTATTTGTTTTTGTTTTTGACATCATGTTTCCACTGTTGTTGTTTAAGTACAATCTAGTAGATTTTGACTCATAGTGACCCTCTATAGGGTTTCCAAGGAACAGCTGGTAGGTTTGAATTGCTGACCTTGCTGTTTGCAGTTCAGTGCTGATCCTACAGCAATATACCAGGAGTCCATGTTTACACTAGAGGGATTTTTTTTAAAAACTCCAATTCAGTAGAAGACTCAACTTCATAATTTCTACTTTAAAAAAAAAATTTTTTTTTAAAAATAAACTCTTAGTGTTTATATATGGAACCTATTTTGACAACTATTTGAGATGTTTTACAGTAAAACATATACTGTAAGTCTACTTGAATGGGAGTTGAAAATAAAACTTAGAGAACTCATGATGAAATGATTCCTCATCCAGTGCCTTAATCCCCACTCTACTGCTGTTGAATTAATTCCAATTCAGTGACCCTATAGCACAGAGTATAACTGCCTTTTCAGACTGTAAATCTAATACAAGCTGACTGCCTTTAATACGGGAAAGGGCAGGACAAGGCTGTAGAGACAAGGGAAAGAGAGTTTAAAAACAAAACAGGCCAAAAATTAAATTAAAGCCTGAGTTACAGCATAACAACCAACATTGGCATCTTAAAATCTCTCAGGGAGCTTTGAAAACAAGAAGCTTAAGAGAGGACATTAAAGTCATGCTTATATTAGACTACACTTTTTTTTTTTTTTTTGTCTTCTCTCCCTTTTCTGTGATTATAGACTGCAGTATTCAGTCTAGTTTTTTTTTTTTTTTCCCCCGCTGGTGCTATTTTGCTGTTTTATGCTCCCCCTTCTACCTTTGGGGGACTCTTTCTCCTTATATTACACAAGAAGAGCCAGCAACTTCTGCCATATAGCCAAGCTACAATAACACTCTATAAAACACCAAAACCCAGGCAAGAACCAATACCAACTGCCATACACCAAGGAGGCAGACAACACGTATGAAAGTTACTCTGAGTTAAGCAATATGAAGAGTGAAAAGGGACGCCCATATCCTGATCACATCTTCCTGGAAGTAATCAGAAAGCATAAAAAATACCAAAAGACGTACTCAATTAAGTATTAAGGACACAAATAAACACTAAACATGTCCAAGAAGCAATAGCAGATGACCATATCAGCACATGTGCAGAAACAAGATAAAATGTCTGAGACAAATGACCTAGAGGTAGACCTGGACT